GACCCAGGCCCTGTCCTGCCGGTCGCGGCACTGACCTGCCTGGCAGTTAATCACTCACACTTTTGGGCCCCTCCATCACGACCCCCGCGCACACCAGCACGACATCTTTGACGGGTGGGGCTCCTACCCTGAGCACCTGCAGCTCTGCGACGTCTTCCAGGTCAGAGCCTTGGGGCCGGGGGGGTGGGGCGCACACAGCAGCACGCCTTGGCCAGAGAACGGTTTTGGAGGGGCGCTGGGGCAGTGCTGTGCTGTGAGTGTTGGCGGGTCCTTGGGGGGCTGGCCCCAGCTGGACAACGCAGTGAGCTGGCGTCCCGCTGGGTGAGTTGGGGCGTCTTGCAGGCCTGACCCCTCGCGACGCGCCACGGCCTCCAGCAGCGCGACTGGTATCCTTTGCACGACACAAACCGCTCCCCGTTGTCGACGCCACACCGCTGCTCAGCGCGCACGGCCCAAAAGCCTTGTGCCACTCGGCTGCCTCAACCCGCAGGGCATCTTCAGGGCGGCGCGGCGCTTCTTCCTGCTGTTCCAGCTGCACACGACCACTGAGCTTTACCCCTGGCACGGCGTGTTTGGCAAGAGGAGCTACAACCAGGTGCGCTGCGGCTGTTTGTCCCAATGGGTTGACCTGGGCTTTCCAGTCAAGCTTGGTACTCTCGCAGCCCAACGGAACGCAGTTCGACAGCCGGCCTGCCGTTTGAATCTGATGGCTGCATTTTCTCGCTGTTGCAACGTCAGTATGGGCGTGCACTAGCCACTGGCAAGTAAGGCCCTGGCTTGTGATGCGCCTTATCGAGGCGCAGTGGCGACGGCCGCCCTTCGTGCGCCTTTGCTCCCCAGGTGGTGCTGCTGGGCACGAGGGTGGCGCTGGCGCTGCCAGACTGCCGCAGCCAGAGGACAGAGAGCCAGGTGGGGGCGACGGGCACAGGAATCATAGGGGTAGCGACGAGGGGTTGCGGGACGCACATGCGGCGGGGTGGAGCCGCGGGGCCGTCGCGGTCATGTGTGTTGACTGCATGCAACATGTGTTCATCAACCCCACCACCACCCCATCACCACCATGCATCATCACCAGCGTCACCACCACCGCCACCACCACCATGCATCACAAACTTATCATGTCCCCCTCCCCCCATTGCCGCCCCCCAGGTCCTGGCCCTGGACACCCACATGAACCTGATCGTCAAGGTCGACGTGAGGGCCCGCGGTTGACTTTCAAAAAACTCCGTCCCGCTTGGTCACCCAGCGCATTTGATTGAACCTGTGGAGCCAGGGTTGCGGTGGCGCCGCACCCCCGCGCTTCCGCACGCGGAGTCTAGGAGTTGGCAGGTCTGTTGTGGTCGGCCACGGCAGGCAAGCACACACTCTGTGGGCTCTGCTGTGAATGTCTGTTGTCCTGCCTCCCCTTGTGCCGCCCCCCCACCCCAGGAGCTGCCTGACAGTGTGACCCACCTGGTGGTGGGCACCACGGTGCCGGTGGTGTACCCCCACCTGCTGGGGGGCGACGCGGTGCTGTCCTGCCTGGCAAAACTCAACAAGGTGTGTGTTTTGGTGTGTGCGTGTGTGTATGCATGCGCATGCGTGTATGCATGTGTGCGCGCGTGTGTGTGTGTGTGTGTGTGTGTGTTCGTGCGTGCGTGTGTGCGTGTGTGCGTGCGTGTGTGTGTGTGCGTGTGCGTGTGTGTGTGTGTGTGTGTGTGTGTGTGTGAGTGCACGTTGCGCGCATGTACGTGCACGCGTACATGCCTGTGCACGCACTCCTGTCTGTGTGTAACCTTACATTGGCTCGAGCACTTGGTGGTCTTGGCTGTGTGGGTCTGGAGCCTGTAGCTGCACTACTAGGTGGTGGTGGTTTTGTTCACAACCGCCCTGCTAATGGCTGCTGTGATACCTCAGGCCCAGCAGGTCTCCCGGCCTGCGCGCTGCTCTTGACGTCCGCTCGCCAACCACCATCTTGGCCACCCGCCTCCTTCCTGCCCCCCTCACCGGAGCGCACGGCTCACCCCCCCCCTGCCGCGCACGCCGTCACGCAGGTGCCCTTCTTCCACCGCCTGTTCAAGAGCACCGGGGTCCACAAGGCGGTGTTCAACGAGGTCGAGGAGCCGGAGCTGCTGGACGACCTCAAGTGAGGCCACCTGGGGCCCGAGGGGCGAGGGGCATGGCGGGCGGGTGGGCCCACTGCGTGCGGCAATACTGCTGGAATGCAGCGCGCTAGGGGGTGCCCATCATGCCTGAGACACTGCCGTGTGGGGGCTGCACGGTCTGCTGCTCGTCATGCTGGGTGCCGACATCTATGGTACACCCACTTGCACACACGTAGTGTCTCACCCCTGCTGCTTACTGTGCACCGCACTCGAAACACTTGCCGCCCACCCTTACCC